CAGATAAATCTTTGTTAAATGTATAATAAAAAAAAAAAAAAAGAAAATTAATAATATTGAGCACGCTTTCGTGAGAAAAAAGAATTTAATAAACGTAATATCGAAACCTAATCGCATGACAATGAAACGATACGAAACTAAATGAAAAGAAGAAGGGAGTATCAGAATTTTTAAATAGAGTGAAAAATAATAAAAAGAAATAATTGTCGTTTCTTTTCAAATGAATCTTTAAACTAAACAATGATAATAGTAATAATAATAATAATAATAATAGGTGCTTAATGGTTATCGACTAGGGTCGGTGCAATTCCAGAGCATAATATACAAAAAGAAGAAGTAGAAAAAGAAGAAAAAAGGGTAAGAAAGAAAGAAAGAAAGAATGAAAGAAATAAAATCAGGGGTGTGGGGGTGGAAGACTGGGGGTATAAGAAGGGGTATTACTGGCCGTTCGAATTAAATACTCATTCGAGAAGTAAACGAGCAGAAATCTTGGAAAGAAATGAGAAGGTAAAAGAAGGTGGTGTTGGTGATGATGAGGGTGAGGATTGGGGGAAGGGGGTTGTTTCATCGCTAATCGGGCAGGTGGTGCATCGAGCCAAGAATTTAATACATCTTGACCCGAATAGTTTGAAGAAAAAAAAAAGAAAAGCGGCTTCGACGCTCGTTATTTCTTTCGTCGTCCATCGGCGTTTTCTTTCCCTCTCTCACTCTTACATTAGTAAGAGAGTTTCTCTCTAACTTTAGCAAAACCGGAGTAGCGTTGGATTATTTATCCCACTCACGACGACTCACACCCACCCACCCAACCAACCACCACTACTCGTGGTCACAAATACACACTCGGAATAAGATTCGGTACGAATGGAATCGATCGAACTGGGAAAACGTTCAGTTCGTTCCTCTTCTTCCTCCTCCTCATCCTCTTCTTCCTTTTTCCGTGACGTTTCAATAACGGACTCTCGGAAAATACGAGAGACACTCTCGTCAGAGTTAAACTGTACTGAACAAGAAAAGAACAGAGAGAAAAGTTGTACTCAGGTTGATTGTGAAAGAGCAGCAGCAGCAGCAGCAGCCAGCCAGCACATCGATTCGTAACGGGTGACATCAACTTTGTGAGAACAAAATATTACACGAGTTGAGAGAATTTCTTGGTGAAAGGCCTAACCCTAACTCTACTCCTCTTCCTCTCACCCCTACATCATTTTTTATATATATATATATATATATATATATATATATATATGTAGAAGTTCTATTATAGGAGGGTTCTCTTCTTGAATGTCTCTTTTCCCAAATTCTTCATTGTTCCTAACTCGTAAACAAGACACCGGGCGTGTTTCAACGTACGTTAACCTTTAAGAGTTGGCCAACTCTAACGATCCTAAGTGTGTCGAGTGATGTTCAAGAGTTGGACCATTTTAAGCATTTTACCCTTTCTTTAAATTCGTGCCGATTTTTTCGTAGGTGGTATAAAGACAGGTATTTCAATGTATTGGAGAACAAAATTTGAAAAGTTTTTAGGTAGGACAAGATTTTTAGGTTATCTGAAAAATTGTAGAAGGTTGTGGAACTGTTATAGCATTTATATGTATATATACCAATATTATATATACGTAAAAACCTAAAATGCTTTGCGTTACATTTCAACGTTTCAATTTTTCGTCAAAATCGGTACGAACTTTCCAGATAACCCAATATATTTCTTCCTTCCTTCCTTGACTTCACCACCCTACCACTACCACCACTAACCCAATCGTTCCCGATCGATCTCATAGATTTGATTGGTAAAAAATAGTTCATCCTACAAATGCGTTCTACTATTATAAATCGATCGTAATAATCGATGCGTTCTTAACTTGCAGAATATCGTTGTTGACCGATAAAATTGAACATCTCTCAATACGATTTGTTTGATTCGAATTTGTCCAATTAAAAGTAAGAACGATTCTCATTTCTGTGTGTTTGTGAGAAGAATAAGAAGAAGAGGAGAGAAACTAAAAAGATTTGGAATTTTTCATACTGCATACATCATATATAATATTTCCGATCGTGATAAACTTCATCGATGCGTTCGTTGTGTTGATTCCCCCTGAGACTTAACCTGGCTAAACCTCACACCCCTTTTACCCTCACCTGTCCTCTTTTTATCACGAAAAAAGTAAAGTACGGGCTGACCTTTTCGTTGCTCACGAACAATCGGGAAATGTCACGATGTTAATTTCTCGTTCTTTTTTTTTCCCCCTCCCCCATCATATTTATCTTTCATATTATTAATAAAAAAAATACAAAAATTAAGTTAAATCTTGAGAATCAATTTTCCAATTATTATTTTGAAACAAGTTCTTGTTTATGATTAAAAAATAAACCAAAAAAAAAAAAAAGAGAAACAGGAAGAGAGATAAAATATACAAAAGAAAGGGTGAAGGTAAAGGGAAACGAAATACGACCATAAACCCACAACACCCCCTTATGCGTAATTCACTATACTCGCGTATACCTGGGAGTGTAGTTTATATTATTCACTCATGAGCTTTCTCACATATCGATCAGGGTTTCTTTTTTTATGAAGTAAAGTCCACGAATTTGTCTTATATGAGAAAGAGAAATGATAAACTCATTTTGTTTGTTCAAATGTTGACTTAGACCACTTTCATAATTATGGGGGTACATTTCATCTCTCGAATGCCAAAATAGTTTGCCATTGTGTTAAAAAAATGTTGACAAAAGTATAACCCATGATATCTTTCCCTTCTTCTCCTACTGCAAAGTACACACAGAAAAGAAAAGAAAAAGAAAGAGAGACAGAGAGAGAGAGAGAGAGAGAGAAGGTAACACAGGATGAGTGTACTTGACTCGAGTGATAACAACGAACCCGATGAATCACGATGAAACAAGCTTATGAATAATATGCCATGTGATCGATAAGATCAAACCTAGTCTCTCTAACATCTGTAATCATGTTCGTGGTTCACCTATAACGCGAATTATTACAACTCTTTTATTTTTTTTCCTATCTTTCTCTTTCAATTTGATTACTCTGACCACAATTTTGTAATATGAAAAAAAAAAAAAATGTCTTTCTCACTCGCATTGGGATAGATTGGAAAGATAAAATGTATGAAAGGGAATGCAAGAGATAAAAAAAGAGAGAAAGAGAGAAAGAGAGGATAAACTCATTGGTGGTACTAAATTAAAGGGAACGATGTGTACACGAGTCAAACACCTTGATAACTTTTGATCAATCCCAACGTTTGCTCTCGACAAAGAATTTAGCTTGGGTTTAGTAGTTCTCGTTCGTATTGAACTAGATGAAAGCGATTATCGAAAAGAAGAGAGAACAAAAAAAATGAAAGAAAAGAAAACATGCATAGAAACACACATACGTATATAAATATATATATAGAAGATAGATGTAGAGATTATAGGCAAATATAGGAGAGAAAAAAAGATTACGAAGAAATCATTAAAAGTCGTCCTATTCCACCTCTTGATGGCCTTCCTAGCGTAATCCGCGAGGAGTGCATACCTTTTTCTAGGAAACGTGAAGACAAACGTAAAGATATATGCATGTATACCTTAAATACACATACATAGGAAGCAAGAAATGTGGGTGAAAAGAGTGGTAAAAGAAAGAGGTTGACGAGCGTGTCGAGATAAAGAGAATAAGAGTGAGAGAGAGTGAGAGAGGGAGGAAATGAGAGAAAGAAGGGTCTGAGCTTGCTTGCTTGCTTGCTTGCTTGCTTGCTTCGTTGGTGGGGGATCAATTTAGAAGCCGTGACTCACTCGACACGGTGACGTCGTTAGCGAGTACCCCTCGCAGCCCTCCCTGTGAAAAAAAAGGAAAAAAAAGAAGGAATAATCCGGTAGTAGTTCTCTCTATCTCTTTTTCTCTATAAGCGGGGACTAATCGAGGCCAGTGCACACACCTCCTCTCAGAGGATGAGAAAAAGAGAGGATAGCGTTTGGTAAAACTCGTGGAGGGTAGGGTAGCAATGGATGTAGGATAGAGGAAGAGGAAGAGGATGAGGTTAGGAAGGGTTGAGGAAGAGAGATAGGTGGTRGTGGTGGTGAGGAACTTCTCTCACGAGCGGTCGACGGGGCTCGAGTATTATTCTCGGTATTCTAGTGTAACACTTGACGGCTGTTTGGAGAGGAAGAGAAGGAAAAGAGGTGGTGGTGGTGGTAGTTGTGGTGGTAGTGGGAAATAGAGAAGAGAGAGAGAGAGAAAGGAGAGGGTGGATCGTGGTGGCGGTCCAGGAAAAACGTGGAGTGCAAAAGGGCACGAGATGCGAAGGCACGCTGTATACAATAACGCGAACTAGCTAGGTAGGCTCCTCTCTCTTCTCGTTACGTACGAAAGCTCAACCGACGCGAGCTTTGCGCGCCGACGGTCTCTCTCCCTTCTCTTTTTAGAAAAAAAAAACAAACGAAAGAAAAAAAGATGTAGAAAAAAAAAGAGATAGAGAGAGAGAGAGAGAGAGAGATAGAGAGCGGATGGGGTTGCCGGAGGTTAATATAAAAAGAAATAAAAATAAAAAAGAGAGAAAGAGAGCTAGGGCAAAAAAAAAAAGAGAGAGAGAAAAAAATATAAAAGGGGTAGGAAAACATCCCAATCTACGGTAGAAGTCTTAACATCCCTTCGCCCCAATTACCGTCTAGTTTGCGATCATAATTTGCATCACGACCCGTATATTTCCTCGAGTTTCTAACAGAAACTACGCGATCCTTCTCGTAACCCTCCAATCTCCGTCAACATAAATGAACCTTAGATGAGACTCTTCTATCTCTCTCTTTCTATATAGCATCCCTCATCCAACGAATTATCCCTTATCGAATTTAATATCGGATACTCTTAGGTAAGTGAAATGCGTCAACGTTGGTTTAAGTATGAACAGGAGATTGAACGAATTAAGATTCTGTATTATATTTGTCATTTTTTTTTTTTAATTCCTTTATAAAGGAGAAACTTACGTACTTTGAAAAATGTTGATATTACTCACTGGATGATACGAAGTTAAAGTCGAGGATACGTTGATGACTCGTTGATCGAAGATCAACGAAAAGTGGCATCCTTCTTTTCCTTCCTTTTATCCTCCTTTTCCTTTTTCTCTTTCTCTTTATCTTTCGTCGTATCCTAGCACGCCACCACCTGTCCGGGCTCCCGGCATGTCCCGCAGCTCCCGAACGGTCCAACACGTTACTTCGGCAACACCCACTTTCTCCTTTGGCCTCGTAACCTCGAGGGCTACTTTTCTCTCACTCTCTCTCTCTCTTTCTCCCTCTATCTATCTCTCTCGTTCTTGCTACCTCTACCTATCTTTATCTCTTTCCCTTTTTCGACGAAGGCGCAGCACAGGCAAGCACACAAGCACCTACCCACTATCTTTCAAACAAGCACGACCAACACGATTGCTACCGCCTCCGCAAAAACCACCGTGACCATCCCCCTAGCCATCCTAAAAGGATGATAACACACCTAACACAGGAGGAGCGGTAACAAACGCTGCCAGCAGCGGCAAATAACAACTGACCGAATAAGAAGAGTCAGTTCGCTTGCAACAGCAGCAGCAGTAGCAGCAGCAGCAGCCGCTTTGCAATGCGTGGTGGAGCTCACCTCTCTTGCAAGGTGAGGAGGACTCTTGTCGTTTCCTCTTTATCTATCCTTCTTTCCTCTCTTTCTATCTGTTTCTCTTTTTCTATCTACCTCTCTCTCTCTGTCTCTCTCTCTCTCTCTCTCTCTCCTGCCCTATCGACTAGCCCCCGCCGCCGTGACCCATCCCCCCTCTCACCCTCTTCAAAAGCGCACGATGTTATGCCGACGCTGTCGAGGAGGCTACTGCCAGAGAGCAAAGTGACGCTGTTCCGTGGTGACAGGGCGTCCAAGATACGCACGTGCAGTACCGCCACCACCTCATCCCCTATCCACATATCCAATACCAACTCTCATTGTTAAGCAAACTATATAATCAGCAGACGATAGGAACCCCTTTTTATACTTCATCAAATAAGGGAATAAAGCTACGTTTACGTTTTGTAATAAACTACCCTTCCTTCCACTTCACCTATAACATGGATCTTTAGCGTTTCTCGATTTTATTTCAAGATTAATTCATCTTCGTTCTATTCCGAGACTATGCATCATTTGCAAGCAACACGACGAAGTCTCGGAGAAAAATCAGTCTACTCTCTGTCGATAGGTTTATTATTATTCTCATTTTCTCATCATTCTGACCACTTTCGCCATCTATCGTTAAATTCTGGTTAATTTTGCAAAGAGTTGTATTCCTAGGGAATCTTCTCTGTTGGAAAGAAAGGGTAGTTACAGTTTTGTTACTAGAAGAAGAAAACAATTGAAAGTTTTCATTTATATTGATAATATATTTGTAAAATCACAAAATAAAAGTACCGTGTTTATAAAATAATTGAAGGTGAGAATAATTCGGAATCGTATTAGCAAATTTTTATAAATATAAGCGCAAATATTTCATTAAATGCACAAATATACACTACTGTAGTAGATCGATGATATTATTGGTCGTCTAGTAACTTTCTTTATCCAATAGTTCCACAGAACTTCCATTATTATTGCCATTTTCCCTATCTAATTGACCTTTTAGTAGACGATTTCATTTTAACAGTTTTAGACGTAAAGAATACTATTTAAAGAAGTAATCGTAAAAAAACGATGTTCAAGATAATATTATTTATTAATGTATGAAATAATTGTAAAATTAATCAGGATAAATAATTGTCAATCCTTAATTATGGATATAATGTGTGACAAAAATGAGAAAAGACAATTGAAAAGAAAATTTATATCATTAGAGGACAAAGTAGAAATTTTAAATCGTTTAAGGGATGGAGAAAGGATATCGTCTGTTGGAAAATCGTTCGATTTAAACGAATCTACGGTTAGGACCTTGAAAAGAAATGAGGAAAAGATAAGGAAAACCATGGCAGATAGTTGTCCTTTAGCTGCTAAACGTACAACTCGTAATCGGAATACTGATATAGTTAAAATGGAACGCGATCTAATGATTTGGTTGGAAGATTGTATTACCAGAAATATTCCTGTCAATGGCAAACAAATCAAACAGAAGGCACTACAAATTTACAATAATTTGTTAAAAACTAAGGGTTCTTCTGGAGATGACAAGAAACAATCGAAGTTTAGTGCGAGTAAAGGATGGTTAGAAAATTTAAAAAAACGATATTCCTTGCATAATATTAAATTTCAAGATGAACAAACTACTTATATGTTTAAGGAGGAATCACCTGAAAATTGTGAAGATGACAATGATAATATAACTCATCATATGTATCAAAATGTAGCAGAAAATTTGATGAGAAATTGTTCCTTAAATAATGAAACAATGAAAAACATTGGTAAGTCTCAATTAGTAATTCTAATCAAATTTCTTAAATGTTAAAAAATACGTTTGAGGAAAATTCATATGATTGTTTAGAAATAATTCTAAAAGGAAATGATCATTCACTTCCAGAAAAAGTAAACGTTACTTCTCACGTAACTGAGAAAGAATTTGAAAATGACAAAAACCATCATCGAGATGTAAAAGAACTCTTACGAGACGAGATTTCAGATGATAAGAAATTGATAGATGACACAACCGCTTCCAATGTATTGGTAAATAAGGATATGGATAAAGAATTGGATTCAAATTGGAATTTAAGTACTGTAAAAAAGGGACTAGATTTGGCTAAACAATTAAAAACTTTCTTTATGGAAAATGATCATTCAATTGAGCGAAGGAATAAGTTTAAAAGGGAATTGAAAAAATGTTTGACTCCGTATAAAGAATTGTATATGAGCTTAAAATTACAAAATCAAAATTCCATTTAGGGATGTTTACAGAACTAGGACGTTGAAGAAAATTTAAGTTCCTTTATATCTTTACATTCTTATTTATTTTTCTTATATTTGCCTGTATTTATACAATTATATTATGTATAATAATTATATACATATATAATAAGTATAACTAATATATAATTAGTTGTGACTAATGTTCAAATTATCTAACATACACACAAACAGTAATTGAACATTTAAATTATATATAAGTATTGTTATTTTTTGATAAAACTGCAATTTAGTTTTGTACCAACCTGATAATATTTCCTAAAAGTATAAAAAATAAAATAATATTATAAATGCACAAAGATGAGTTTGAAATTTCAAATGGTGGGACCGGTAGAGTCGGACAATTTGCACCAATCCAATAACGTGAGCACTGATAAATAAAGAAAAAAAAAAGAAGTATTAAACAAATGAACAAAAATAAAAGTTCGAATTTAAAATGTTGAGAGGAAATTTTCCTTTTTCCATCGTCCTGGTTCCCCACAAAACAAAATTTGAGAGCGCCATCAATAATTAAACACTGAACTATTCGATAGAAATGAAACCATGAACATAGATGTCGACTCATGGTTGAAGCAGTGATCCCATTCGTACGATAATTATTGTACGCGATAATTTTCGATTTTTTTTTTTACTCATCAAATTTTGCAAACGGGTAAGTTGAACGGTAAACGGTTCAACCATAGTTGAACACAAGTAATGCGATATTAATTTTTGATTCGATATCTCTAGAAGAAAGAACCACCACTGTACCATCCGATCTCTCTCCCTGCCGTACGCCGTACCTACGACAGCTTGTCCTTAAGACTAAAAAAAAAAAAGGTCATCAACTTTGGAAAAGTAGGAACTTTTACTTTTTTTTCAGATTTTGACAACGAAATCCGAAAAATTCAACAAATTCAAGATTTTTCCTGTGCGTACGATAATTTTCCGGTGTGTACGATAATTTTACGGCCCTGTGTCGATCAGTCGAACTAAAGTCTCTGGGATCACTGGGTTGAAGGAACATGAGCGGCCATTCGGAAGATAAGAGTTGTAACATCAATATGAAAGAGAGTGTTTTGTCCGGCAACGATTCAACAATGAAACGCGGAGGAAGGTTATTAGGATACTTGATCTATTCCTGTGGAAAGAGTTTCTTAATTATCTTCGTGATAAGTCTTATCGCATCAATGAACTATACTGGTGAGTGTATTACCCAATCCGTAGGTTATACATATTTTTCGGGTGTCTCTGCTTGTACTGGTGATTACTGCATGAATACAGAAAGAGAGGGGGAAGTGAAAGAATCTTTATACTAATGGCCACTTCTGTTGAATTTTGGCGGCAAATTCAAATCGTTCGAAAAACCAATGCATGGGAACAATTATATTTGTAGAGGAATCAACGAACTAAACATTTTTAATTTTTTGTTCAATGTAAAATAATCGTTTGATTGGACCCAATTTTGAATTATAATATAAAATGGAATGTAAAATAAAAGATCCAGTTTTTTATGCGCTATTTTATTATCTTTTCTTAATGTCCCTGATTGAAATTACGTACTAACGTATTTTATGAGTACATTTATATTTTTTCGACATCGATTTGCTATAAAGATTAATTCGCACGCATGTCTTAACTTTATAAACATTCTATTGAATAAAATGATTTACGATCTTGAAAATATTTCTTCAACAGTTTATGTAGAAATACAAAAATGTCAAACGATGTGGAGTGGAGTAGAATTATTGCTAGCTTCTCAAAATGATTACCTGGTCTCTCAAAAAGACTTTCTAGTCTCTCAAAGTGAACAACTGAGTTCTACAAATCATTTCTTGAGAGTTATGGAGAATTTGTCAAGACAAATAACTAACAATAATAAAACTGTGAATGCAACGTACGAAAAAACAAAGATATATGCGATAACACCAACTTTTACCAGAGCTGTACAAAAGGCCGAATTGACTCGGCTATCCCAAACTTTTCAACTTGTGCCAAATTTCCATTGGATAATCATAGAGGATTCGCTCAAGAGGACAAACCTCGTCTCGAAATTACTACAAGAAAGTTCGTTAATATATACACATTTAGTAGCAGCTACTCCACCTAATTATAAACTTGGAAAGGATGATCCTAATTGGAAAAAGCCGCGAGGTGTTGAACAACGAAATGCGGCTTTGCACTGGTTAAGGAAAAATCTTAACTCAAGTGATAACGGTGTTGTATTTTTTGCCGATGACGATAACACATATTCCGTCAAATTATTCCAAGAGGTAAACAAATATTAATCTAATAATATTTTATATTTGACAATGATTGTTCTTATTACTATAGAAAAAAATTACTATTATTTTTCCATCAACTTGAAAGATAAAATACTAGGACTGATAATTGAGTCCTCTACTCAAAATAATTCAATTGCATTTGTTAATTTTATAAGAACAGAATTTCTTAAAACACTTGGGATCTTATAATAATAATTTAATTTCGCAAATGAATAACACAAGGATGTTAAATAAACGATGTCATAGTTTGTACAGAACCTAGAAGACAGTAAACTTAGCTAAATATTAATCCTCAATCCCCCCCCTTTTCTTGAAACCCTACAATTGCCCCTAAGGGAGAGAAATTCTCTCCCTGTTGGAAGAAACTTGTGCCAGACCAGAACTACTACTACTTGCTAGCATGTTAATCGATTCGCACATATTTCAGATGAGGAAGATTCAAAAGGTCGGCGTTTGGCCGGTGGGTCTCGTTGGTGGCCTAATGGTGGAGAAACCTATTTGTGATAATGTTACTAATAAAGTAGTTGGTTTTAATGCCGTTTGGAAACCCAATAGACCGTTTCCTATAGATATGGCAGGTTTTGCTATCAACCTGAAACTCCTATTAGAGAATAAGGATGCATTATTTTCTTATGATGTGGAAAGTGGTTATCAGGAGAGTGAGATTCTTAGACAAATTGTTACAAAGGATGAACTGGAACCTTTAGCTGATTTCTGTACAAAAGTGAGTAACATTTTTGTGGCATTTTTATTTCAGGTAGCAAGTATAGGTAAAAAACTTAAAACGCTAATCCTAGTAACAGTTTGTATATACCTAATGTTTCTATCATAGTTGGTCAAATGTTTTTTTTTTTTAAGTAAGATTATGTTTAGGTAATAGATAATAGATTATTTACTGTTACTTTTATCGATTTAGTGCTACGAAATCTCATGGTGTTTTTTTTTATACAAAATTGTAGGTATACGTTTGGCATACGCGAACGGAACCACCACGACTGAATGCTGAGGAATCGTTAATAAAGAAAGGGATACATTCTAATTTTGGAATAGAGGTTTAAAAATTATGCCAATGTATCTTTTATAAAAGATACAAATCCTTCGTTTGCTAACTATAGCTTTAGTTCATTCTACGAGATGTGAATACGAGATTTTTATAGTTTCTTTCACGTATGTCGTAAGTGGCCATACGTTGTGATGGATTTAAATTTATAAACTGATAAAAAAAGGGGGGGTTGTTTTTATATGCAAAATAATAATTTTATGTTTAAACGATATAATTAAATTTAATAAAAGATCTGTTTTGTTTTAATGATTCTATTTAAAAAAAAAAAAAAAAAAATTGTTGTTTGATAAGGCAGAAATTTATTATACCGACGGACGATTCTATAGGGGGGTTGTAAAAACCGTCGGCTTTATATTTTTTACTTTTCTATACGATTTACTTTATAATTAATATTACTATTTACACATTTAATGTAATCGATCGGCTAACAAATAAATTTAATTTTCATTCGAAATAAATTGTAATGGGGTAATATTACACATTATTTACTTTTACAAATAGTAAACATTGTATATACTACGCATAATTACGAATATCGCGAATAAAATTTGTTGTTTTCAAGCGTATATTACTTTTGATATTTAAAATAAATAAAACAAATGATATAAACCTGTTTAAAAGAAAATTATTTTCATCCTTTTATATGGGGTGGGATGGTCAAACACCGTTGATGCAAATCTATGGTACAGGTAATTAAAAATTTCAAGAAACTTTTGTTTTTCCTCTTTGGATTTTTTTTTTTTTTTTTTAAGGGAAGCTCTATATGCAAAAGTAGAAAGAGTGTGTGAGAGAGAGAGAGAGAGAGAGAAAGAGACAGAGCTACGCTCCAGGTTTTTTTTTATATTTGTTATTTTTTTTTTTTTTCATTTGTCCCATAAGTTCTTTTTTTATTTTTTTTTTCATTTTTCATTTTTTTTTTTTTACGATCATTTTGGCGGCAGATACAAAATTGCTTGAACAAGTGTTAAAGAAGTTTTAACGTCGAAGCCTCCTATTATTTTCTCTCCGAATTATTATTATTATTTTTTTTTTTTTTGAAACATCGTCTCGACGATAGAGAGAGAGAGATGGAGACAGAGAGAGAGAAAAAAGCAAAAAAGAAACTACAATCTTTGATTCGCAAAATTGCGATTGACATTTTTTTTTCTTTTCTTTTCTTTTCTTTTTTTTCTCTCTCATCGTCCGTGTCTCGATCGATGTTTTTGTAATTATTATTATATATATATACATATAATTATAATCATTATAATTCTCACATGTCATTTACGAGCTAATTAATGAACCTTAATTGCTAATAAGTACTTATACATTTGGCAAAACTCTTTATTATTTTTTTTTTTTTTTTTTATATTCTTCTCACACGTTACGTAAAAAAGCTACTCGAAAGTTGACAAATCATTTTCGCGAGATGGAAAAAGAAAAAATCACATCCGATATAATTAATACGATCTCCATGATTTTTTTTCTTTACTCAATTCAAAATTATTCATGGAAAAAATTTCTTCAGATGTTTTTCCTCTTCCTGTTTGTTTTTTTTTTTTTTATTTATTAAATTGTTCGATAAAGTTTTCCCCATCTCGCGAATACAATTTTCAACAACAACTCGCGTTTACAATCATCATTATCATCATCATCATCGTCGTCATCATCATTATCATCATCATCATCATCACTAAATCTATCGAAAAACTTCCCCTAAATTTATCATTCTTAAATTTTACAAGTTGATTTTTTTTCTTTTCTTTTCTTTTCTTAGGGCTCAGAGAGGGTAAGGGGTAGTTTGAGGGGATTTGGGGAAAGGACGAGAAACGTTTACACAAGCATTTACAAAAACGTATCACATTTTTTTTGTTTTCTTTTTTTCTTGTTTAAGTTTGTTCAAAAACTGCGTTTTTGCAAAGAAGCCAACCCTTTAATTACACAACATACTTTTAATTATTTTTTTTTTTATTTTTTTTTTCATTTTTTTTGTTTTTGTTTTGTTTTGTTCTCCTATTATTAAGGGCAAGTAAACAGTTCACAATGGTTATTGTGTTGTTGTTGTTTTTTATTTTTTTATTTTGTCATTTATAAGTCGTTCATATTTTTTACGATACAATAAATTCGTATGAACAATAGAATTTTTTTTTTTCAAAATTGTCAATCTTTGTTTTATTATTTTTTTAATTTCTTGTTGTTGTTGTTGTTTTATTTTCAATGAGAATAAAAATTGTATCGTAAACGAATGACTTGCGGGATATTACAACACAATACACACGCACACACATTGTAAACTCTTTTGTGGAAACAGGCAAGCTTTACATTCGCGCATTCCTATTTTATTTATTTAATTAATTATGTATTTTTTAATTTTTTTTTTTAATTTTTTTTTTTTTAATCATCTTTGTGTCTTTTATCTTTATAATTACCTTCTTAAAAACTTACGAAAAACGATCCCTCGAAATGCCATCGATTTTACGTTCACTCTATATACGTATGTATATGTAATTATATTTAAAGAGAGAGAGAGAGAGAGAGAGAAATAGATAGATAGATTGATAGATAAATAGATAAAGAAATGGAAAATAGAGTTAAAAAAAAGAGAGAGAGACGATTTACCCGTTTATAATAAATGCAAGTAAAAAAAAAAAAAATAATAATAATTAATACTAAAAAGAAGATAGATAAATAGATAGATATAAATATTAAATTGACCAATAAGTTTTAGTTATTGTTTTTTCTTAAAAAAAAAAAAAGAAAAAAACAATGTATGAATTTATTGATCAATTTAAACAATAAAAAAATGTCTTCTAGTTTTTGTCAAGGTTTTCAATCTAATTTCAGAAAGGTACGTACAATTCTGGAATTAATTACAGAACATAGAAAGATTTTAGAAGCTGTGCTAGCTTTTGTGGAAAATGCGGCTGTTGTTGGAAAAACGATTGGTGAAGTTATGAATGGAATTAGTGATTAAATGTATCGCTACACCCAAGGCTAAAATGAAAGATTTAACAGTAAAAATAACATTAATGTATATAGAAATAGAAAAACGTGAAACAATACAAGAAGAAGAATTACTTAAAGAAACAAAGGTAAAAAATCGTAAAATTGTATCTGCCTGTATTGCCGCTTTGACTCTTAGTCTAAACGAATTTGGATTAAAAGTTATTAATGTTAAGCCTCTGATAAAGGAAAATGTCTAAATGATTTAGTTACAGGTTTAAGAAAACGATTTCAATCTTATGCGACATCGTATCTGGCTGCTATTTTAAAGAAATTCCGAGAAATAAAGCAAAACGTTGTACAAGCTCTTCGAGAAGCTTCTGATGCAATTTTTGGAAGCGTTGCAATTGATCTTATAATGGAGGATTCACTCGCTGCGTTAGAAGATAAAAATCCAGATTGTCGGGATCATAAACATTAATTTGTTTAATTAATCAATCAAAGGTATCAACCTCTCCCGATCGGGGAGGTTAACATATATATATATGTATATGAACTTCGGGTTACGTCTCTACCGATAATGTTTATAAAAAATAAAAAAGGAGACAAAAATTAAGATAGATGGATAGAGAGTCAGTCAGTCTTTAAAAGAAGAATGTAAGATATGTGAAATAAAAAAAAAAAAAAAAGAACAGAACAATTTAAATATAATCACGAATATATATATATATATATCACATAATTATATATGTGATGTATATATTCCATTGAACGAGTTAAATAATAAAAATTATTATTTCAAATAATTCTCAATATTATTTATCGGTTGTATCAAAAGTTATTATTATAAATAGAAATTATTTTTAATATATTTCAAAAGTATTATTTCTCTTATTGGATGGATATAATTTATTTTTTTTTTTTAATATTTAAATGACTGTGTGTTCTCGAGTTTTCGAAAAGTTATGTGCTATATAAATGTGCTTCATTTATTTTTATTTTTCAATTCCACGAAGAATTAATAAATCAATAATTAATTATCTATATAAAACACATGAAGAGATCTTATTATAAATAATAGAAAAAAAAAATAATAATAATAATTAAATTATATTTATCCAATTGTATTATGGTGAAATATTTAATTACAATTGATTTAAATATTGAATTAATTTTTGTTTGTTTGTTTGATACAACCGATTCAATTATAAAATAATAATTTTTATTAAACTTAAACCCCTAGGAGAGTATAATAAATTGAAAACTAATAAGTAACGTAGTGTCATCAGTTCTATGAATTTCTTAAAATAAAAATGAATAATTATATATCGAGTGGATCGGGGAGGTAGATAAGTAGTGTTACAAGATGAGTTACAAGAGAAGAGAGGGATAGGAAAAGGGAGAGGGGAAAGAATATTCTTGAAAATATATATATATATATATACACGTTATATAAAACTAATGCAAAAAACAAAAAAAAATAAAAAAAAAATACTCTGCCGACCTTCTTCCAAGGACCTTTTTTTTAATTCATCCCTTCAGTTACTAATTTTTTTTTTACTTTTTTCTATCAAGTTTATTTTATTCATCAATCTAATTTAATTATTTCACATCATTTTCATTCACATATTCTTGTAATCAATTCTTTTTATTTTATTCATCCATTCATTTTGTAAAAGATCATCGAAAGAAGGTAAAAAAAATAAAAAATAAAAAATAAAATAAAATAAAATAATGCGACAGAGTGCAATTAGAAAATTTCTTTTTTTGTTTTTTTATCTTCGTGGCAGATGGTATCGTTGAATAGAAAAAAAAAAAACAAAAAAAAAACCAAAAAAATTAAATAAAAAAATGTACGATCATCTGCACGAAGGAATGAATTAGGGGGCTAGGGGGGTTGTTGGGAAGGGAAAAGGTTAAGGGGTTGGGTGCAGGCACCCGGTTTTTTTTTCGTGCACTTATAAACTAATCCAGCGTACTAGACTGTGTTTTTTCCTTTTTTTTGTGTGTGTGTGTGGGTGTTTGATTATTCTCTAATATTTTTTTCCTTCTTCTTCTTCTTCTTCTTCTTTTTTCTTTCATTTGTTAAATAATTATGTGCCTCGAAGCGCAATAGAATCGACGAAATAACAAAGCAAAACTAACTATATCGATATACATATATATCTTCTTCCATTTTCTGGGTTCTTCTAACCAATGATAGATAATTGTCAGTTTGATGAAATTTTGTACACTCAGTTATATTTTCTTGCAATTTCTTTAATTTTTTTTTTTTTTAGTATTCCTCCTCTTTATTTTTGATATTTTCTTTCATTCTCTTCTTTCTTCTTTCTTCTTTTTCTTCTTCTTCTTCTTTCATCTTTCATCTTTCCTCTTATATATAAATATGTGCGTGTGGGTGCTGCACGTGTAAATGTGTACGCGCGTGTGTAGAATTATTTTAATTATTTATTTTTTCGTTTCTTTTTTTTTTTTTCTTCTTGTTATAAGCGACCACTATCAAACTTTATTTTAATTATTCATTATTCTCATTATTATTTCCTTTTTCTTTTTCATTTTTTGATATATATATATGTATATGTTATTTATGTAATACGTTAGAAATACATTGAGAATAATTTTTCATTTGTTTATTTATTTGTTTGTTTTTTTTTTTTTAATTTATTTTTCTTTTCCCTATCTAAAAACGACAAACTCTATTATAAGAAATATCAGAGATTGAAGATAATTTTCTAACGTACTACTTTATTAATACTTTTTTTTTTTTTTATTACTACCACACTTTCGTTTTTTCAATTTTTGATTGCCCCTGTGCTATTTGTTTTATCTTTTTTTTCTGTATTTCTTTTATTCTTTTTTTTTTTTTTTAATTTTCGATCTTTTTCTCCAAAGAAAAAAGAATAATATATATATAATAGATAAAAAGATCGTTTTATAGAGAGAACGAGATGAGGAAGAAGAAAGAAAGAAAAAGAAAGATTAAGAGAGAGAGAGAGAGAGAGTGAGTGAGAAAGATAAGAGAGAGAGATACACACACGAAGAGAATTATTAGAGAAAAGTTTCTAATTAATTCTAAAATTTTCTTTTTTCAACAAAGAGAGAGACAGAGAGAGAGAGAGAGGCGGAGGAGGAGGAGGTGGCGGAGGAGGATGGATGAATCCTTTTACAATCTAGTACGCCGGAAGAATATCTAAACGGCCGAATCCTTTCCAACAAAACCGGTCTTCGAAACTGATCGTTTGCCATCAAAGGTTACCGACGTTTCCCTACGTAATCCTGAATCAATGATCGGTGTTATTTTCTTCTCTTCCTTCAATGGTTCTTTCTCGTCTCTGAAAAACAAAATTCACATTTTATTCTATTATTGTATGATTGTATTAAAAGAAAGAAAAAAAAAAACAGAAAAATAATATTCGGGAGAGAATTTTAATGAATTCATTTGCATTTGTTGTCATTGAACACATCACACATCACACACACACACACCGTACACGCGTACACACACATCTGAAAAAAGAAAGAAAGAAAATGAGAGAGAGAGAGAGAGAGAGAGAGAGAGAGAGAAAGAAAGAGAGATCATGTGTGTGTGTGTATATATAATATTTATTATATTATAATATTATTATAATATACCTAAATAATTAGATTATATTTATATGATATTATTATAATATTTATAATTAGATTATAGATATTATAATAATATCTATTATTATAATTATATTTTATATATTAAGTATATTAAATAATATATTAAATATATAAAGTATTAAGAGAGAGTATGTTATAATGAATAGTATATAAAAATATACAAGTAACCAAAGTGTAATATAGTTTTAGTATTAGTTATGCAAATTTTTAAATAGTAATAAATGAAATAAAAAGTAATAAGTATAAAGAAAAAAAAAAAAAAGAAATAAATATCGATTGTAATAATAAATAATTTACAAATTAAATAAAATAAAATTAGGAAAGTTAAAAATTAGAAATAATATATAATAAGATAAAAGTAAATAAAATAAATAAAATTAGGTAAGTTAAAAATTAGAAATAAAATATAATAAGATAAAAAGAAATTAAATAAATAATATATAATAAAATACAAATATATAATACAATAAAATTATATAGGTTAAAAATTATATAAAATAATTTGTAAATTTTGAAACCTTGTTATATACATTAAGGTTACTTGTGTATAATAAAATAAATATTATTATATACACCTTTGCTTATATATTATATTAAAATATGTATAATATATTAATATTATACATATTAATATAAAAAAAAAAAAAAAAAACACAAAAATTCACATGTGGAAAGATAGATGCATCTTTGCGCGTGGGTGCAACACACACAATCCATGGTTAATGGTATTATAATAAATAACGTCAGGCATGCTAATATCATTCATAGAATAATATTATTAATATATATCACGTATTTCGGATATTTCAACAACTAAAATAATGAAAATAAATTTGTTCTCTCTCTGTCTTACGTGTGAACAAATTTATGCGTGTTCGTAGTATGTTTCTCTTATTACTAGAAACATAATCAAATGTGTGGTTTCACGTGTATATAATACGTGTGTGTGTGAGTGATACAAATGGGAAATATATATATATTTGCTTAAAGGGAATAACTTTGTTAAAACCCTTTCTTTTTCTTTTTTTTTTTTTTTTTAATATTTTTTCTCTCATTTTCTTTCCTTTTGTTTTGAAAATGAGTACAAACATTTTTGTTATTAACAGTACACAATTGTTTGTTACGATATTATTATTTATTTATATTTATAATTTACGAATTATGGAAAATGAGAAAAGTAGAAAATAGAAAATAAAAAAAAAAAGAAGAAAAAAAAGGTGCGCTATTGTTAATTATAATACTAATTTATTATTTTTTCAAGTGTTTATCTATCCATGCAGCATGGCCAAAGCTCTTAGGCGTAATTAATTTCTCGATTTACGGAGGAAGCGAATGGTTTTTATTTTTTTATGCTTCGCGTTCATTAATAATAATAATAATAACAATAATAATAATAATAATAATGATAATGATAATAAGCCGAGCAATAATGACGAGCAAGCTAGCTGTTGACAATGTGAAACGTGTATAAATTATGAAATAAATGTTAGACAAAAAATAATGAACGTATTATATAACAAACGTAGACGGTAGATTTGATGATGATGATGATGATCATTATGATGAAAATTAATTAAAAGTATAATAATGATAAACGAATTTTATGATTTTTTTTTTTTTCATGGTTGGCGGTAAAAAATATTAATATATATATATATGTTAATATGAAAATTATGTTAAATGCACATATATATTTGAAAAAAAAAAAAGAAAAAAGAAAGAACAAAAATATTAATAGTAAATGAAATAATAATAATGAAATTATAATGAAAAATAAAATATAAAAAAGATATTTGTAAAAATTATTCTTTAATTTTTTTT